TCCTTTGGTGTGTGGTGCTAGTAACAGACCCAAAGCCAAATGGGGTTGTAGCTGAGTTCTCAGGGGGTACTGAACTATTTACAGGTCTATAGCCAGGACCAGTTAGTGAGTTAGCCACCAGGATGTGAGCCTGCCTTCTCAAAATGACTCTCCTCAGTCTTGGACTACACCAGGATTTCACAGTTTTCTACCTGGATCCCAAAGCTCCCACAAATACACTTTTGTCCATGGATGGATGCTAAATTATTATTTCTGATGGGGCAGTACACATGAGGGATATTTTATTCTGTCATCTTGCTGACATCATGCCAATTTTTATATTTTAATTAAAAACACACATACAAAATCTAGATCGCGATACCCTTTATATTTAAAGATGGGTCTTAAGAGGAGAAGGTAGGGACTAAAGTAATAGATTTGGACTTCACTGGCATTTGAAATCATGGAAATAGATAAGATTGCCAAGGGAAATATATAGAGCAAAAAGAACAGAAAGCTAGAGTACACTATCCAAGGAATCGGCAGAGGGTGGAATTGGTGAAAGAGACTGTTACTTTGTCATTTTTAGACCTTGCTTCAATCTAAAAAGGATTTGAAATAATTTGTGTAATACCATAGTGTTAAAAGAAAACTAAATATAAAAATCAAGGCTATAGGGATGTAAGGATAATGTAGGAAGATGAAGGCTTTGATTAGGATAGAAATTCTTATTACGTGGTCTGTTAAATATAGGTACAGATTAGGCTTTGGAATTACTAGTAGTAGTCAAGTCATTGTGGAAATGTGATCAGTTTGAGATTCAGAGTATTCATTTAAAAAACAGTTCAGTTGTTCAAAAGTGGCCCTAACAGGGTCCTCCCTGAGTTTTGGGGAGGTGAGTTCCCAGAGAACAGGACTTTGCATGAGGGCAGACTGGGCAGGAGATGCCATGGACCCCACTCTTGCGGGAGAGTTCTGGCAGATGGCCTCCTTAGCCAGAGCTTGGAACAGACTCAGAGCCAGCAAAGTGAGTTCAATGGCTGAGGTGAGGTGAGGTACCCTACCCCATAACCCAATTCAGACTACTTTCCTCTGTCCTCTCTGAAAAAAAGAAATAAAGGAAGAAAGGAGGGAGGGGAGGAAGGGAGGAAGGAAGGAAGGAGCGAGGAGCCCAGTTCTCTTGTTTAGGATAAGCAGAGGTTTTTCCTGGTAATGAGATTTGAGAGAAATTTCTCCCCTGAGTTCCCATAAAAGGGGAATTATGCAGTGTGGTAGTCAGTTATCTTCAGTGGCCTCCCCAAAATAAACACAATCTATATATTACTTCTCCTTAAAACATCTTTCAATGCAAGCCATGGCTATAAAACATTATTAAAATGCTTCTATGAGGGGCTAAAACGAAGCATTTTAAATATGTACCTAATAGTGTTTGTTGTGGATGACATCTCAGGTAGCTAAAGATACTAAAGTGAAAACAGGTCTTTCTTAAACCAACCACATAGGTTGATTGAATTGACTCAATACCAGATATGTATAAAAGAAAAGACTCCATTTGCTGGTATCATGGGTACTAAAGGAAATAGAGGTACCAGCTTCTTGTTTCTCCTAATCTTCCATTCTAGACATTCATGAAGACTAGTATTGTTGGCAACAGATGAGATAGGCTAAGCTGGTCTCTGTTAAAGTCCCTCTGTGGAGTATATAAGAAGAGTGGGCATGAATATATAACATGAAAAGGGTAAATGTGGTATGCTAATTTCATCTGAAACTGGTGACTCAGACTTACTTTTCTAATAGGTATTTCCCTCTTCCCTGGACCATTTCCCCAAGAAGGGAGAGATTAATTAGCAAATGTGCATTTAGAGGAATAAAAGTTTGTTTTGGGCTCAACTGCTTTATTTTGCAAAAGGGGACAGAGTTTAGTATATTAAATTAAAACATTCAGAAGATTCAGATCTGCTGACCAGTACAATACTGTTATCCTTAGTTTTTTTCTCAGTATAAAAACATTTATGAAAACTGTTCTTGTTTTCTCTTCTGTTAAGATGAGATAATCATTATAGTATCTTTAAATAAATTTCCCCATATAGTATGTCTTGATTTAGAAAATTTACAGGATTCTGAGGAACATAAGGACTATATATTTTTAGAAAATTTTCAATGAATATTATTTCTTGAAACAAAGTATTTGATAAGAATTGGGTAAAAAGAGGATCTAAAAATATATTTCCTATAATGAACCCGGATTGAACATTTTCATTGCTGCAGACTTTTTTTTTTTAAAGATTTTATTTATTTAGGGGCGCCTGGGTGGCTCAGTTGGTTAAGTGACTGCCTTCGGCTCAGGTCATGATCCTGGAGTCCCAGGATCGAGTCCCACATCGGGCTCCCTGCTCAGGAGGGAGTCTGCTTCTTCCTCTGACTCTCCCCCCTCTCATGTGCTCTCTCTCTCTCTCTCAAATGAATAAATAAAATCTTTAAAAAGAAAGATTTTCTTTATTTATATGACAGAGAGAGACACAGCGAAAGAAGGAACACAAACAGGGGGAGTGGGAAAGGGAGAAGCAGGCTTCCTATGGAGCAGGGAGCCCGATGTGGGGCTCGATCCCAGGACCCTGGGACCATGACCTGAGCTGAAGGCAGATGCTTAAAGACTGAGCCACCCGGGCGCCCCAGACTTTTTTTTTTATTAAGGGCCAGATAGTAAATATTTTAGGCTTTGTGGGTTATACAGTCTCTGCTGATACTCAACCCTGCTGTTGTAATGCAAGAACAACTTTAGACACCATGTAAATGAATGACTGTGGTCTAATAAAACTTTATTTATGGATATTATAGCTTGAATTTCATATAATTTTAATGTCATGAGATATTATTTTGATTTTTCAATAATTTTAAAGTGCAAAAATTATTCTTAGCTCACGGGCCATACAAAAACAGGTGGCAGGTTAAATTTGGCCCATAGGTTAACAAAAGTCAAATGAGAAGGAAGAGTTAATATCCTTTTGCAAGAATCAACTGTCCACTAAAGCCTTGTGCCCAAATAGGTGACCATCTACCTCTACGTGTGTTGGACTGGAGGAGCTCCTCCAAACAGTGCTGAAATTTTCTTCATAAAATATAGTTATGGAGTATATAAGAATGACTGTGAACCCAGAGTTCTAACACATAAAACATGACTTCTTATCAAAATGTCAGGTTAGAGAGTTGAAAATTTAAAAAGCATCATTATAGAGGTAGATGAACTGGGGAGAGTAGAAGCTGAAAGCCTCAGGGAGGATAAAGATCAGGAAGTCATTGGAAGAACCAGGTTCTCATTGTAGTTTTGATTTGTGTTTCCCTGATGATGAGTGATGTTGAGCATCTTTTCATGTATCTGGTGGTCATCTGTATATCTTCTTTGGAAAAATGTCTGTTCATGTGTTCTGCCCATTTTTAATTGGATTATTCATTTTTGGGTGTTGAGTTTTATAAGTTCTTTATATATTTTGGATACTAACCCTTTATCAGATATGTCATTTACAAATATCTTCTTCCATTCCATAGGTTGCCTTTTATTTATTTATTTTTTTTTAAAGATTTTATTTATTTTATTTGAGAGAGAGAATGAGAGAGAGCACATGAGAGGGGGGAACATTTTCATTGCTGCAGACTTTTTTTTTTTAAAGATTTTATTTATTTTATTTGAGAGAGAGAATGAGAGAGAGCACATGAGAGGGGGGAGGGTCAGAGGGAGAAGCAGACTCCCTGCTGAGCAGGGAGCCCGATGCGGGACTCGATCCCAGAACTCCAGGATCATGACCTGAGCTGAAGGCAGTCGCTTAACCAACTGAGCCACCCAGGCGCCCCCGTAGGTTGCCTTTTAGTTTTGTCGTTTCCTTCATTGTGCAGAAGCTTTTTATCTTTTTATTTTGATGAAGTCCCAAATATCAACAACACAAACAGCAGGTGTTGGCAAGGATGTGGAGAAAGGGGAACCCTTCTGCATTGTTGGTAGAAATGTAAGCTGGTGCAGCTACTCTGGAAAACAGTATGGAGGTTCCTCAGAAAGTTAAAAATAGAACTCCCCTATGATCCAGCAATTGAACTACTAGGTATTTACTCACAGAATACAAAAATACTAATTCAAAGGGATACATGCACCCCAATGTTTATAGCAGCATTTTCTACAATAGCCAAATTATGGAACAGCACAAGTATCCATCAACTGATGAATGGATAAAGAAGATGTGGTACCTGTATACAATGGAATATTACTCAGCCATAAAAAGGAAATCTTGCCATTTGCAATGACATGGGTGGAGCTAGAGAGTATTATGCTAAGCGAAGAAAATCAGAGAAAGACAAATACCATATGACCTCACTTATGTGTGGAATTTAAGAAACAAATGAACAAAGGGGGAAAAAAGAGTGAGGGAGGCAAACCAAGAAACAGACTCTTAACTATAGAGAACAAAGTGTTGGCTTCCAGAAGGGAGATAGGTGGGGGTATGGGTCAAATAGGTGATGAGGATTAAGGAGTCCACTTGTTGTGAGGAGCACTGGGTGATGAATGAAATCACTATATTGTACACCTGAAACTAGTATCACACTGTATGTTAACTAACTGGAATCTAAATAAAAACTTAAAAAAAACCCCTAGGTTCTGCAGTATCAATTAGGATGAGAAATAAAAAGAGATCACTGAATTAGACAATTAGATCATTGGTGACCTTGGGAAAGGCAGTTTCATTTCTTTTTTTTTTTTGGTGTGGGGGGAAGGGCAAGTTTCTTTGGAATGGTGGGAGTAAAAGTTAAATTGAAGAGGATTAAGGAATGAATAACAGGTAGTGAAGAGAAAGGAGACAGTTGAAAAGTGTGATGGAGTAAAGGAAAATTTGAAAGGCAGAGAGTATTGAGGGAAACGGGGATAAGTTGGCATTTGACTTACCTTTTATGCTTAACCTATTAAACAGGTGACACTTAGAAAGTTTTTAGATATGTTCTTGTTATATTGACATCATTTCTTTTAATTTTAACAGAAAAATGTACCATGGTTATATATGTCAGTATAAAGATGTTTTGAAGCAATATCAGTTAAAATACTCAGAAACACCCCTTTCACATGAATATTATGAGAAGAAAAGAGAACACGAAGAAATTCAAAATAGAGTGTTGGCATGTACTGAACAACTAAAAATGAATGAAACTATCTTTATGGAATTTCTAGGTATTAATGTTTTTATTATATGTTGTTTAAATAATGGTATCTATTTGTAATGAAAGGAATAATGAATCAAACTAAAATATGATTTTGTTTTTCAGTGCCTGCTCCTTTTCCATCACTTGCTAAATGGACATTACATATGTATCCACAAAATATCTCTACCTAGAATTTTTATTATATAAGTATTATTTCTGTATTTTGTTATTATGATTCCCTGGTAAGCAAATTGATTTGGGTTTTTTTTTTGTTTGTTTAATTAAAAAAACTTAGAGGTTACTTTAAAGGTCATTTGGTGATGCAGAAGAGACCATTTCCAACCCTCTGCCTCAGAGCAGAGAGATCGCAGCCTGAAGGAAGGGAAAAATGAAGGGGGGCAAATCAGAGGGAGAGATGAACCATGAGAGACTATGGACTCTGAGAAACAAACTGAGGGTTCTAGAGGGGAGGGAGTGGGGGGATGGGTTAGCCCTGGTGAGGGTATTAAGGAGGGCACGTACTGCATGGAGCACTGGGT